TACTAGCTCTAATGACAGTTAAGCTTCCTCTAAACAAAGCAGTGAAACCGCCTGAAAACTATCCTGATGCTGTGGAGATCAAAACCAAAAAGCTGTGATACAAGAAGTAGAGACCACCACCATCCATCAGCCAGTGCACTAGTTGGTTGCCATACGACCAACTAAAAACAGGAAATAAATATGGCTGACTAACATGTCATAATGGCCATTTTTCAATACGTGTAGTTGTGCATTCTCATGTGCTTGTGTACTCAAAAAACGTCATCAGCCTCAGCCCTACTGTTCCAATTCACAAGAAGACAGGGAATGGACAAAGACCCTGGATGTTGTTCCCGTCCCTCCCTATTTACCCAGCATGCATCAGAGTAGACTTTTTCGTCTACAGCTGTCCCGTTATGCACCGCGGCACAGAGATCAGAGTTAAATGTTCTCTTTTCTGTTGCTGTTTTTCTATAAAAGTAAGTTTTAAAATAATTTAAAGTGAGAACATTATACTTTTAAGCTTCACTATATGGCCCATTTACTGATTTAGTGCTAATTTCAAAAACAGTTCTGATGTTGAGGACTGTGGCAACCAGCGGAGCTCTGAGGCTAACCGCAGCCCGTCTGCATCAAGGCTCTCTCGGCATAGCGATATGTGAAGGACTGCTGGCTCTGATGGAGCTTTTTTTGTTCTATTTGGCAAAATGTTCATTTGATTTGTGTTTTTCTGACTGTGTTAACTATTATTCACCCACTTAAAAATAAAAGTAAGAATTTATTATTATCTAGGTACTATTATTAACATGAGGGGAAATGGAGCTCCAGTTGAGCCGACCGTGTGGTGACGTCATGGGAACACTTCTGTTCCAATTGACCAATATTTATGCTGCTTGCTCCCGTTCTCTCTGCCATACTCTCCTGTGTTCTTCTCAAGAACATACTTGGTGAAAACATGAGTCCGTACTCGCGTTCTTGTGAATCTAGAAACAGTCAATGATTTCTAAATCCCCCTTGAAGCTTGGCTTCTAGTGATGCAACATGTTGCTTCTCTCCCAAGTGCTCTTCAATCTATCTGGTTCTGACTCTAATCCATTGGTAGATGCTATTTCCTTTCAACTTTTATTTTTCTTTTAAATAATATTCAAATATAACTTCCGCCTTTTGTCTGGATTCCTCCGCAGCCAACTGAAAGCCACCTACTCAGTTGGACCAATGCAGACCCAGCTGGATGTACAGCTGCTTGGCTCTACTGTCAAGAAAAAAAAGCCTCAGGCAAAACAAATATTGAGCAAAAATAATTATTAATCTCTCTGATGTTTCACTAAAAATGTCAAATAACTATAAACTGATTATATAGCCATGCATAAGAAGCTTTGCTGACCCAGAATGTGGTGAGCATGGGTTGTAATCCATTAAGTCGTGTTACTAGCTTCATTTTTTGAGATCTTGTGCCACATTCCATCGTCCCCAATGTCCCCCTTTATAAATAAAATGTTTGATTATTTATTTATTTTTTGTTGTTAATCTAGTGACTGCATTTCTAAATAACGCTTATATAAATATAAAGTAAACATAAATCTTCTTATTCTGAGTGCATGGAGCAGCTCAAAGGAGCTCCCATTGGGTTTCTTTTTCATTTTCAGCTCTTTCTGGTTAGCCTCGTGAGACCATCCTGATCTCGCGAGCTTTCAAGATTTCACTCGCTAATCAGTCTGGAGACTCTCCGTTAAAGAAAATTTGCAGCTGTTCACCAAACGAACGTCCAATCAGCGTTGGCTTTGAGGCGGGTTGAGGTGTGACGCAACAAGAAGTGCGACAGTTCAGTCTAAAGAACATGACGGCTTCAGCCGATGAAACTAGCGTTAGCGTGGCTATCAAGCAAGTTTTATCGGAATTACAGAGTATTTCTTCATTGAAAGAAGAGCAAAACACTGCTCTGGAGGCTTTTCTCAGAGGAAAAGATGTTTTTGCTCTTCTCCCGACTGGTTTCGGCAAGAGTAGCCTGGTTTGTGGTTGTGTTTTCGTCCTCGCTCTGTTAGTACGTCATATGCTTCGTTGATCTGATTGGTTTATTTGGCCCATCTATCACCAACATAGGCCAATCAGCTAACCAGTATTTTCGCCCCTTCCCAAAATTACTTCAACGGAAGGTTTCCAGATGCATATGTGGAGCAAATCCATCTGGCGGAGTCAGGTTACTTTCTGGTGGGATGTATGTGATTCAGTAATATTAAGGAAACCCTGAGATTCCATTTCTCATAATCTAAGTACGATTCATGGTCTGAGGCAACCTGCTGTTTCATTCTATGAAACTGAAACACAGACTGAGCCAACCAAAACAGTAAGTTACATAACAAAGAGCAACAAATAGTAACTGTCCTTTTTACCTTTATGTTCACTAGTTGCCAAAGTCTTGCCTTATTACTGAGCTCACGTGGTTTCTGCTTTTATTCTGAAGGTTTTCTAAGAGTTCTGCTGTGTGGATGTTTTTGTTTTCTTTTTTATATGGATCCATGGCAACAGTATTTAGAGTCAAATGAATCAGTAATACCTTAAAACAGGCAATAACCTTAATAATTTTTGGCAACATGTCTCTTAGCATTAGGTGCTAGGCTTCATTAACGCATCAGTTTCACTAAGTCAGAGAGCTTCTATGTTTGGCAGGCACTAAAAAAAAACCTACTTCTATCATCCAGGATATTAACAAAGGGTCTAATAGTAATGTTCATTTAAGCTTTCTGACTCTGTAGCTCAACAAACATGGCCTCCTGATGGGATTGTTCTATCTGCCTTATTTACTGCCAGAGCTCCGCTCACCTCTGGCACCAGATTTTAATGCAACTACAACAAACATTGGCTGTGTTTTAAAAAGTTAAGGCCTCCCGACTTGGTGTTACACAGCTTCTGCAAACATCCTAACCGAGCCAGGCTTTAATGCGCTGGCAATATTCCCACACTGCATCTCAGCTAAGCCTTTGGGATCTGACTCTCCCCTTTTAGACATCTGAAATTCAGAACCAGTCTTGTTTGCATACAATAAATTATATTATACAAAGCTCTGTGCTGCAGAACAGTGTCTTAAGCTAGGAAACCTAATTTTGTTAAATAGTTAGAGACCACAGGGAGTAGAATATTGTAGGTAGAGTAGACACAAGCTTGTATTTCTTTAGACTACATCTTGACCTCTCAGGTCTAGACTGCAGTATTACTGATTCAGTCTGACACCTTCAGTTGTTGATGCATAACAAAGTCAAATGGCTGCAAAGTGGTTTAGCATTGATCTGTCAGCTCATGAAAAGCCACCAGACACAAGTGTTAGCGTTGCTGTACATTTAGGGCATAAAAATAGCAGCCGTACAGCAAAGAAGAAGCATCAGTAAAGCTGCATCCTGTCTTTCTCAGTCCAAACAGCCATTTTAGAGAGCACATTCCTTCAACAAACATGACTGCCTCATTTCATTAATGTTTTAAACTCTGGGTTCTCTCTCAAGTATGCATGAAACCAGAGCATCCAGTGGCTGCATTGCAGGCTCCCCTGTGAGAGATAACCACATAAAATTACAAGGTGGAGAAAACCATCAATCCATTCACAGGCAGCTCCTGCTGGTGCTTTTCTGCTCAACCGATGGAGATGAAGCAGCTAAAACTACTCGTCTCCATAAATTAGATGTAAACGTCACATCAGACAACGCCATCTAATCAAGATGGTGGCTGATGGTAACACAAACCGCAGCCGCTCACTTAATCAAAATGTTTTTAAAACAGTTTCAACATGAAGCTGTGATAGGAGGTATGTTTTTAAATTACCTATTCAGATATACGATAAATGTGCCAGAGGGGAGTTATTTCTTTTGGGGCTGTCATGACATGGGGTTGTCATAGTCAAATAAAACTGATGAAAAATAAAAACTGCTCTGGAAAAAAAAACATTTATTTATTTAATTGCTTTTATAAGAGAAAAACTTTAACAAACTGAAACTGTATTGTATTGTGGTGGTTTTCAATGGTCAAAAATCAGGACACCTTCAGTCGATCATCTGCTTGCCCCAGGACGGGAGAAGAAGCGTTTATTTTATAGATCAAATTGACATGCTGTCCTTAGTACACGTAACACAGCGCTTCACATTTCAACAGAACACATCTAGCTTTTTCTCAACTCCCATTCAAATCTGGGCGTTTATATAGTTTCAACATTGCACTGTGTGGACGTGTGTGCACGACTGGACGCTCTGATAACATTTCCTGGAAGTACTTGGCTTGTGACCGGATTGCGTGCGAGTGGGCCTTTGAGTGGGCCTAATGATTTTGTTTTTCAAGACTCGGCTTATCGCCTGTGAACACATTGTTACTGCCAAAACAATGTTACTGCCAAAATGTGTACGTGGCTCCCAGACTGCTTGCTCTGTGTTCTCAATTATTGTGAGCTTAAGGTCACGATGACCTGAGGCAACACAATTCGCTTCTACAGTATAATAAAAAAAACCAAGATGTACAAAATAACTATAGCTATACGGTACATCTTTTGCCAGGGGCGGATATAGGAAATTTGGGACCACAACAATCCCGCCCTCTTGATAAACAACCAATCACATCCACTTTATTCACTCGTGTAAAGTCGTGCACCACTCGGGAGAATTCAGAAATGCAACGGTTGGAACAGCCGTTTCCCTACGACTTTAAGTCCTAATATATCTATACTTTTGTCAAAAATATAACATTCTGACCTTTTTGAACCCTGTGACTAAAAATGAACAAATTATGAAAAAAAATGAAACTTGTATTAAAGTTAATAAAATCTTAACAAAAACTAAGCATTATTAAAATAATAACAACTATTTAAAACTAGTGAACCCACTCCCCAAATACTAATCAGAACTATGTTACAGAAAAATGGAGCTGCATTTAAAATAATACAAAACTAGAATAAAAAGTCTCAAAAATATCCTGGCATTAAAGAGACAGTTGCAGGACAGAAGTACAAACAAAAGGGAAAAGATCAATCTGCTGCAGAAGCTCACCAGAGAAGAAGTTCTTGGCTCGTAGGTAGCTGACACTCAGGCGAAGGATGGACAGTTTGTCGAGACTAGCAGTAACCTCCTCAGGAAATGGCAACAGGCTGGCTAGTCGCTCCAATTCGCCATTCAGCCGATCTCTGTGACGTTTGGATGGATTTGACTTGGTCCCCTCAGCAGCAGGCGGTTTCACCCTGGCCATCAGAAATAAAAACAGCCTTAGGCAGCATAGTTTTACATGATTAATATGTGGTAAAGCGGCAGTATATAAAAAGTTTATACTTCCATGGACAGTAGTAGTCTGCATAGTGTTCTTTTTAATTTAGCTAAAAATGTTACCACTTTGGGCTATGCACTGTTTATTGAGCATTGATCTTCCATAAACAGTCTGGACACTGTTAAGTATGGGCGGATCGGGGAGACTTTAGAGTCTTCAGCACAAGACCCAAAAACCATACATCATAAAAGAAACTTGTCATTTTCAGGGAGAAAATCGGAGAGAGAGGAGAAAGCCTACACTCCAAAAAAAAATAAAAAATTAGAACTATCTTGTCCAGGATTGATGCTTAGAAACTTGTTCATGCATTTGTTTTATTTTATGCTCGACTATTGTAATTCTTTATTATGAGAAAGTCCACAAGCTATAGTTAAAAGCTTTCAGCTGTAGACATAGTTCTGAAAAAAAGTTTAAGGAAAGATACATTTTCTGCTATTTAGCCTCCCTTTAATGTTTTCCTGATAAATGTAGAATATAAGGCAAAACCCTTCTCAGGTATAAGACCCTACATAACCAAGCTCCAACCTATACTGTATCAGGATCTGATTGTTCCTTATGTTCCTACAGTAGAACAATTTGCTCTTAATCTCCAGTAGAATGGAAGGCATATCTTTTATGTATCAGGTTCCTTTCCTATGGAACCAGCTACCAGTTTTAGTTGGAGAGGCAGACCCCCTGTTTACTTTTAAGGCTAGGCTTAAAACGTTGATAAAGTTTATAACTGCAATGGCTTGGGTTAGTCTGACCTATATTAATAGTTTTGCTGCTATAGGCTTAGAGTGCTGGAGGACATAGGGACCACTTTTCATCATTCTGCTCAATTTTTTCTCTATTCTCGATATCTGGAACATTTGTTAGTTCAATCCCTAACTTTATGTTCTCTTTGCATTTTCTCGTCCAAAATAGCTTCATCTAGTGTGTTCTTGTTTGGCTGTGACACCATCCAGGAGAAAAATATCAGCTGGGCTGCTACCATTAACTCCTTCGATTACAGTTGAATGAATTGTTTTTCAGCATTTAGTCCTGTTTCTTTTCTAGGCATAGGTTCAGCTTTTACTGTGAATAACTGTATGTGCTCTCTGTCCTTTTTGGCATAACAAATGGCTCGTCTGCTTAATGATATCTTTCCTAGACAGAATCATCTATGGAGCTAGTTTACTGTTACCTTTTCTAACATAGAAAGTATTTATAGATCAGTGCTGTTATGTTGTTTTCATATTTCTGCTTCTGTCTTCTTGAACCTTCAGTTGGCAAAAGACCTCTCATAATATTCCTGGTTCTGACTGAGTTTTTCTTGATAGAAAAGAGCTTTTCCTCTGCAATGTAGCTGCATGAATGCTTGCTGTGAGGGATTTCTAAAGCACCAACAATACAATGTAAGCAAAGGTTTAATGTTTCTACATGCTCATCCAGGAGGAGTGAATCCTGCAAAGCCAATGACATGATGCAGTCTGATGCAGTTTGAATTGTTCCTTATGTAGAAACATTTGGGACAAACTTATCTTATGATCTGATTGCATTAACACTGTAAAGTGCCTTGAGATGATATGTGCTGTGAATTGCAAAATATAGATATACTGACTAAAATTTAATTGATAATATTATTTTATAATAATATTAATTTAATAATATAATAATAATTTTATATGTGTCAACAGTATACATTTTATTTGTTGTAGTCTCAAGAAGGATGGTAATCAGTAACTTAATAGGTTTTAACATAGATTTCATCCTATTTAACTCATTTAGACATGATCCCAGATAAAGACTCTTGTATTCGGGTTCCATAAAGAAAACGAATAGCTGATAATGTGCTTGGAAATCTGCAGAAAGCCCGACTTTCTGCTGCTCGGATCAGAGCTCTGACAGTAGGAAACATGAAGGTTTATACAGGCAATGACAGGATGGGGGTAAAACATTTGGTGCAGCTGCCAGGAGTTCATTCATGGTGACATGCATGACTCACCAGCCCTGCAAAGAGAGAGGACACGAAAAAGTCTGTTTACATATTAAAATCAGAAGACTCTCCCAGGCTCTGACATCAGATGAAAACATGAAGACATGTTTTCATCTGATGCATCAAAAGTGTTCACATGTAGCGTTGATATGTTCTTAAGAAGGCTTATTTTCTTTATCTGCTCCCTCAGTTCAATATTTGATTTATTTTTACTGAACAAAACCACATATCTATTTTTTGTAAGGTTGGGTTTATAGCAGATAGAATAGAGGAATTTAAAAAGTGCATCCTTTATTTCCTTTACAGTGATAAATAAATCAAATTATCCAGATGATATTCAATGCTGATATGGCTAGCCCTTAATTGGAATTCAAATCACCACTAAAAGTTAAGTGATTGAAATGTTTTTCTGACGGACATCCTCTCAGCCCAGACATATGAGGTCTTCTTTTTAAATACAAAGAAATTGAAAGAGCACCAATCTTCTCTCACACCAAATGATCAGTTCTCTTTAAAAGGACAAGTCATATCCATCCAGTCTCACTCACACTAGAGCTTGCCAGAATTGTAGAAGCTGGAATCAGACCCAAAACTTTCTCATCGCATGATAATTTTTCTACCTCTGGGGCCGAAGAGAAGAAGAGATGAAAAATGTAAACAAGGAATTACTTTCAGTTTAGTCAGAGGCTGCTGCCGTAAATGCCCTGTTAATCTATCTAAAATAACAATATACATTAATATTATAAGTACTTTTTAAATGGAATATTAATTATAGTAGTTCATTAGGTATATATGAATATTATGTAGAATGGTTCAATTTTAGGGCTGCATGTTAAAATACGTTGTTAATTAGAAGTGTTATATAGAGTGAAAAGGAGTTAGGAGTAAATAAGTGCATACTTCCTCCTGCCCCCTTTTCAAAGAGATTTATGTGTTTTTCTATTATGATTTTGTATTTCTTTTTTATTCTATGAAATTTTTTATCATCACTGACTGGGAATTAAATCTTATTCTGAGCAAGTATGCTGGGACAGTGGACATAAACCACTCCATCTAACAAGAACAGTGTTCAAGCAAAACCTGGGACAGTATGAGCAGCCAGGCAAGCTGAATAATGAGTAGAATAAAATATAATACTGGGAAAAATAAATAAAATCAAGTTTGAAATTTAGCTTGGTGACAAATGCTGACCTAATGAACCAATTTTGTTGATTGCAAATAGTGATTGATGGATTGATTGAATGATTGAATTTACAATGGTAACTGTGGTTATTTTTCTAAACCTTAGTTAGAAATGTGGAAATACAGAAAATATACTGATTGTGTATATCATTATATCATTATTTTTTGTATATGAATAAAATGGGTTTATGCTTTTTGTGAGAGTAATATTTTTTAAGGTTTTCGAGTCATTTATTTCACTTTTTTTTTTAGCTGAGAGGTTAGTTTTCTGTAGATTAAAGTTTTACAGGTAATGCTAATGTCAGCTACAGGCAGTGGCACCACCAGGGGGTGGCAAGGGGTGGCCACGGCTACTCTGTGTTAGGTTTATGTTTCTGTTATGTTTTTCTTTTGCTCCTTGATTTCTAGTGTTTAGTTTTCTTTTCACCATGTTTCTTTATTCCTAGTTATTTGATTATTATTTTGTTGTTGTTTTCTTATTAGTTCCTGTCTTCCAGCTTTTCATTTGTTATCCTCTGCTGCCCTCTTGTGTCCTCTTTCTCTTGCTCTGTTTTCTGTTCAGCTCTCACCTGTGTTCAATTCCCTCATTAGCCCTCTTCCTGTCTCTGTCCCCTTTAAAAGCCCTCCCTCTTCAGTTCATGTTTGCTGGATCCTCGTCTTACTTCCCGTCAACCTCTGATCAATCGTCTGGCTACCTTCCTCGTCTCTTCCTGGTTCTTAGTTTTTGGTTTTTCCCTGATGTCTTCTAGATTCTAGTTCATGAGATATTTTTGTTGGATTTTTGACTCCTGCCTCAGTGCCTGTTAACCTAATTAAACCACTTAAATTCATCTCAACCTACTCGTCTCTGCATTCGGGTCCTCTAACCAACTCCTCAAATCTTGACACTCTTTCAGGTTTACACAAATACTATCTTCATTCAATCTAAAAATATTATAAAAGTTTAATTTGTGTCAAACAAAGTGTAAGTCATCAAATAGTTCACACTTTTATGCCCGCTATTATGGATTTAAGACAAAATAGCATCTTGACTAATGAAATTTTGTGACTTTTCTTTAATACTGCAGAATCACTGCAGTCATAGTATGCCACATGATGCCTGCAGTGGCTGCTTATTTGTTGTGGTTCAAAGCCACTATATTGTTCAACAAACTGATATTTTCTTTCTTTCTTGATGTTCATTAGCTTAGCTCTCAGCTGACGCATTTCTGTCCCATGATATGTTCTTTTGCATTAAAAACGACGAACTTTACTTTTCTTTGAGCAGATATTACAGAAGGATTCTTTCATTTTGCACAGAATTCCACATTTAATGGTCAAAAACTGTGAAGAGCTCAGTTAACCACACCGGGTTCTGTTTTCTTTCTGAACTGACATGACACAGCACTTTTCATATATTTTTCAACGACGTCCTTTAGGTGGTGCTTTTCTACAAAAAACATACAAAAATGGAACCTTATTGTTAAGATATATTAATATTTAGATTAATATCTTAATATACAAAAAGCATAAGCAATAATAAACAATGTTCAAACTAATATTCTGTGCTCTTACGATGCCATTACAGCTTCGCTCTTTGTAACGGTCATCACCAGAATATTAATTTAAAAATAAAGCAAGTTTATTCCTACTTTGTATTGCAAAAATAAAAAAAATCTGTTTAAAAAGAGAAAATACAAATTTGAAATAATTTTTCATAGTAATAATTGCAGCACATTTCGTCAAGTGTTATCATTTTAGTGTCAAGAGTGGAGCTCAGCGACCGAGTCGTGTTTCTGGATGAAACACTTGACCTGCATTGTCTAATGATGGTCTTCAGAGGGGCCCGGTGGTCCCTATGTATGGCAGCCTGGCTTTTGTCAATGAGCCCCAGTGCCGCTGTAGCTACAACATAGCTTGTTACCATCATTGTGAAAAGCACTACCACATGTTGTGTAGAGCACTTTGAATCATCTGACATAAAGAGGCCCTATATAAGTACAGGCCATTTAGTGATCAATTAATCAGTTTGTTTAAAGGAAAAGTGCACTCATATTCAGAATTCAAACTTCTGAAAGTGTTACTGTAGGAATCCAGTTTGTGTGGGTTGTGTTTTCTCCCTCTACCGCCAGATGGCACCAGGTTCTTGTTGGCCCTTTCACACACCTGCGGATGGTTGCCTCATTACCTGAGGACTCTTAAGCTGCTGACTGCCACTACCTCGACACCAGAGTGTTTGCCAGTTTTGGGTACTCTAGCCAAGCTGAGTTTTGCTGAGTCAAACTGAGTTTTTGTCTCCCTGAGTCTTAACGTTGTTTTTTGTCTTTTCCTCTTGGCAGGAAGTCATCCTGGATGTTTGGGCCTTCTCCCCCCGGAAGGATTGTCTTGAGCTTCATACTGAGCAGGGGATGCAAACTGGAGGTTTGGACCTTCTCCCTCCCGAAAGGATTGTTTGAGGTTCACACTGAGCAGGGGATACATCTCCACACAACCATTCAAGTACCTCAGGAAGTGGCAGTCATCTCCACCTCTCCTCAAGGAACAAACTTTACCCGGGTAAACCCTGTCCGCCCTCCAAGGAGTCAACCAATTTCTGGAACAACCCACACTGACTGGATTCTCAGAAGGACACATTTTCTGGAATTTTGAGTCCAGTCGCTAATTCAGCTTTTGCAAATCTTAGCTCAAATTTCCCACTGAGCCTGAACTAAACACTGAACTTCCCCTTTCACTTTTCAATCCCGGTTCAGAGCAACACTGGACCCATCTCAACTTGTTTTTAATAAACCTGTTAAACCTTTCCCTGGTTTTTCTGAGTGGTTTCCTGCATGTGGGTCAGATCACTGAAAAAGAGCATGACATTAAAAGTACTTTACCGGTAAATATTAAATAATTAAAGACTGTTCAATAAATTATAAGTGTTTAATTAAGAGTAATTTTCATCTGATTGTGCTTTACTGGAGGCATCCATGTTTGTCAAAGAGCAATACTGCCACCTACTGGTTTGTGACATCACGGTGCGGTATTGGCTGTTGATCAAGTCTCAGTGCTGTATCTGGTGTTTGTCACAATGCGCTATTATCCAAGTCATCTTGTAAACATTATTCTTCCAAATGTTGGCTACATATTACGTGTTTTTTCTCTGGCCAGAAGTTCAATGTCAAATCCATCTTGTTTAGGTTGGCAATCCAACAACGAACCCGTCCGTGGAGGATCAGGAAAGATCAGAAAGGTGAAATAACTCTTTTTTTTACACTTTTCCCCAATGTATTCCAACATCCAACTGCCATGCACGTGGGCATTGTCAGTTTCACTATAGCTCTGGTGAATTTCGATGGTGAAGTCCTCTCAAACTCTTAAATAATTGTAGTTGATTGCAGTTGTGTCTAGTAGCTTCTACTGATTTTGCTTGTAAAGCAAAACCTGACATCTCCACTGCCAGAAGATGTCAGGAGTGAGGTGTTACTATATTTGGGCAAAAATGGACTCCCGCACTCAGTGATCGAGATAAAAACTATTAGTATTTTTTATCATAAAATCACAGCTGATGACCGGCTATTCCTTTAAAAAGAGATACTTCAAAGTATCTCTTTTTAAAGGCACCTTTGGAACAAACATACACCTAATGAATATAGCCTAATGCATGGGTTGTACTAAACATTCTTGTAAGGCCCACAAACATAAAAAAAACATGCAGCTTTTAAAGTAATAATCCCCACACATAATAACCATTATGCCTGCAGAGATTAATACATTTGTGGGAAATGATACAACTTTCCCACAAATGTCCTTATAGATGCACTGAATAAGGACATTTTTAGAATTTTTTTTTTTTTGAAGGACACTCAGGTTATATCAAAAATAGGCTATTCATTCAAATGCAGCTCTTAAATGTATAAATGTTTTTATCATATTGACTTCATACTGTAGTGATTTTTAGAGTGGGATTGGAGTGTAGCTTGTACCAGAACAGCTGATCTTGTTTATTAAATAAAGCTGGATTGCACATCCAGCTTCCAGCAGGCTGTGATGCTAGATGAGCCAAAAAAATTTAATAAAAATAAAATTAATTTAATCCCAATTCATTTGCTTTTCTTAACATATCTATTTAAGTAAAAAAAAAAAAAAAAAGAAGAAGTAACTTTTCTCCATTTTTCTATAGACCTGTTTTGTAACAAACTTTGGGGGGGGGAAAGTTTTTTTTCTTATTTTCACTGTTGGCTTTAACTGAAAATAATGTAATAATCCCACAAAAATTAAGTTTGTGGGATTATTACATTTAAAGCTGCATTTTTTTTTTTGGGGGGGGGGGGTTATTATGTTTGCGGGAGCATTATGACGTAGGGATTGTTACAGTTCTTTAGCAGAAAATGTATGTAAAGTAACCCTGACAGTATGAGCACTGGATTCACAAACACATGATTTGTTGCATGGGAGCTGTCTCCACCACCCTGCAACCCAGACAGAAGCCATCTAAAATGCAGACATGGAGGGGCCTTTATGAGCAGCTACAATTCATACCCAATATATATAGGAGTGCAATTTTATTCACCTGTGAACAAATGTGGTTGTTATGTCCATGGCCTCTTTCCAGCGAGACATACAGTAGATTGATATGTTGGCATATGTAAACAAATCTTGCATCTGCAGCATAGAGGCGACCAATATAAGAAATAATCTATTGCGATATAGATTTATGAAATTAGAGATTACACTGCAAAGCAGCTACAGAATATACAGGATAAATATTATCATTATCATCTTGTATTAATTTCTACAATTGTTAAAAATCATTTAAATTTGAAATAAAATGTCCTGTAACAAAATAAATAAAACGGCTGTGTTTTTGTTGTATAGAAACTTTAGCATATAAATTCAGCTTTCTCCCCATACAGTAAAAAAAAAAAAAAAAAAACATTTTCATATGTAGAAATAATCAAGTTTGATTTTCATTAGGTTGGTATTTTTTGTCATCTATTTAAAATAATCTTGGCAATATATTTTACCCTTCACTAATTTACTATAAGTTTTGTTTATTTTTATAAATAGAACAATATTTAATGACTGAGTGTTGTTCATTGCAACTATTGTTATTAAGAACTATTATAATGCATGACTATATTATTAATTTATCTTTGAATAAAAATATAATGATAAATGATGTGTAATTACATTGTACTAACGGGGCGCTGCTGCGGATCGTTTCAGAAGGAAAATGGCGCCGCGCAGGAACCGCAGATAAATCCAAATGTGTCCAAAATAGTCAACTTAATTTCAGTAAAACGAGGGAGGCGTTTAGATGCGTTACACTATTTTTCTTTTCGCTTGATTTCTTTCTTAGTGTTTTTAAAGGATGCGGCTGCAGATCGGGAGCTGAGGCCTCTGCTGCAGGCCTGCAGACATCTCATCCATGCGCTTCTATCTCTATCTGGTTTTAATATGTTTTGATGTAAATATAAACACCGAAATCTTCCATTTAAATTTGAATCGACCTTCAGGTCTGCGCTCTGACAGCAGTTTCTGGTCAGCAGGTGCCTTTGAACCGCTCCATGGACGCATTTAGGCTGAAACGCAGAAATAAAGCAACTCACGCTCTCTGGATGGGTTTTCTCCTCTTGCGTCCTGCATACATCACTGCTCCTTTTGTAAAAGCGCCCAAAAACAGCCGACCAACGTCCCGCTATAATCTTCTGTTTTAATTCATCCTTCCCGAGTGTCTGTGAAGTGACGCAGCACAGTGGTCTTTGGCGAGAAGCCAAACTGCTCTAACAGCTGAACTTCTTCACCCTTTAATTCAAGTTGCTCAGGTCAGAAACTAATGCTGGATGTTGATGCAGTGAAAAGCAAACTGCGCTCCTCAGAGCAGAGCCGCACTTTGCTGCGCAATCAGACGCATCTCTCCTGCGGGTCAGACTCCGGGCTGCTGCACCTCTTCTGCGCCGGACTGCAGCGGGACCGCGCATTCCACCGACGGCCTCAGCTCACCACTACTCTATCGGGAGCGCGCACTGGATGCTTGCGCGAGCACGTCGGATAGTCTCCTGGAAACACGGACTATGCGTGTCCACATGTGCGCGCTCGCCATCCAATTAGGGCGCAGAGAGCGTTTCTGAATGGTGTATTTGGGTCAGGGGGTGAACTTCTAAATAATGCAGGAGAGCTCTGCAGAAGATTTGGGAGAGGTTGAGTTAAGATGCTGAAGACAAAAACCTGCTTTATTGCCAGGACACAGTAGATCAGCAGCAATTTTAAAGCATAATTACTGCAGATTCTGTAAAAACCTGGACCGGCCTACATGTCAAATCAGACTGACGGTTTTATTGAGGTTTGAATATTAGATCAGATTTTAGTTTTTTAGGAAACCAGGACAGATCATATAGGATGTTCAGTAGCAGAAAGACTACAAGAGGTCAAATATAAAAAAATATATCTATACTGCTGAATGGCAATCGAACACCAGCCGAATGGCAGCCCACATCTCTGCAACTCCCAGCAATATCCCCTCCAACTCCCGGGCACTGCAGTGACCCCCTCTTGCATATGTTTTTACTCTGACTCCAGCCTTTCACTGAATTACAGGGTCTGGCCAGATGATGAGGCTTCTCTTTAGATCTCAATGTCAAAAAATCCTAAATTGTGTTTAAAAAGGAATTGCACGGGACCAGCCAAGGGCCCATCAAGGAAAGCGGGGAAATATTTACTGGCTACTACTGTATCCTCCATATAGGTGTACATACAGAAAACAGGAAAAATAAAGGAGCAGAAACATTGTGAATATCAGAGAAGATCTGAATCAGCATGCAGGATACAGGCCTGAGCTGCCATACAGTTTATTGACAATGGCGGCGTCACATGCATGATATGAGGCCCTTAGAATACCATTAGTGACTTTGTTACAGCTTCAGTCCAGTTTCTTTGTTCTGGGGGAGTTTTTAGCTTTATAAGACCAAAGTTGAACTTTTTTTCTTTTTTTGAATGTTTTTTGATACTATATACACTCTTTTTATATTGTCTGTTGTATTTTTTTTTTTATCTTTAATGGAATTTTGCTTTAACTATTTCTACTTTATAATCTACTGGAACCATAATTTCGCTGAAGGATAATCAAGGGATGAATAAAGTTGAGTTTAGTCTAAAGTGCGTAAAAAGAGTCCACTATCGAAAAGCTTTGAATCATTCCCCCTCCCTACTTCTCTTACAACCTGGGAGTTTGGTTTGTGCCCTAAAGTTGTCCTTGGCCTCTTAACAAACCTACTGTTATATATGCATCTTTTGCATCTACTTAAGCATATTTAGTAACTTTAACGCAGTTGTTTCATGTCCTACCCTGCTAAAATGAACAATTGTGTTAAAGTATCTTACTATACTTAAGTAGATGCAAAAGATGCATAAATTATTGTATATTCCATCCCATAACGTTCAACTCATTTCCATCTGCAGGACCCTCAAATCCGCTGGTTCCGTGAATTAAACTGCCGGTTTTCTCCTTGAGGCAAACCTTTAATGTCAGGTGGATCCAGTACTTTATATTGGAGAAACAGTTTGTTTCATGCAAGTGAAATAAGCTAATGTAGTCCATGTTGCAGCCTATGATGCAGTCAATGTTCTGTGTGAGGAGCGGCAGAGCTCTTTTAACACAATGGAGCTAACAAAGTCCCAGAGCCTCTTCAGTCATTATCTCTATTGCCTCTCTGTGAATAAGGTCTCTGAACACAGGCTGGAGATGAACCAGGTTATGATCTGAGTCTCACCCTATGAGCAGTCAGTGGGCAAGGCTTGGATAAAAGTCGGATGGCTAATGGCTTAACCCGAGCTAAACAGTAGTATTGGTGGTTTGCACTGTTGCTTCATAACAAGAGGGTCTTGCTGGGAACCTGCATTGTGGAGACGTTTCCTTGCACATTTCTAAGATCTTACTCTGCCTTGCTCTATTAACATCACCTGGTAGATGAACTCTTGATTCTAAATGCACCTTTAGGTGTGACTCGCATTGTGCATAGCTGAATCCCATGTGTTGACGTGGCGACCTGTACCCTGCTACCTGTTCAGCAACAGTTGATTCAAGCTGTAGCTTCTTTTACAATGAGACTTAGACAACTTTTATTGTCATTTTGTATGCACAAGCATGTTTACAAAATGAAATTTCATTTTGTACAGGTTTCAGACAGTGAGTAAGAAGCATAGGGCTTGGAATCCTGAGGTTGTGAGTTCAAAACCCACTCCCACAGACTGCCACTCTGGGTCTCTGAGCAAAGACCCTTGACCCCTGATTGCTCCACAATAGCAGCCCACTACTCCCCAAGCAGATGGGTTAAATGCAGAGAGTTCAGTTCTTGCTCTGTAATTTAATGTAATGACAACAAAACCCTGGGGGAAAAAAGAAAAGAAAAAAAAGGCCGCTTAGGAAGCAGCTTTGGAAGATGGTGGACTACTTGTACTGCAGTTATAAATCTAATAGATCATGATAGTTAACAAATGATCAAAGTTAATTCTGAGGTGCACACATAAAAATGCACTGTGTTATGTGTTATGCTTTTGGTTATGAAGGACTTAAAGTAGACTTTGTAGAGAGCATGGGCGCCCTCTGCTGGAGATCATGTGTCATTCATTTAAAAGAATATAACCTGTTTTTTTTACATTTCCATCCCAGCAAAAACCTTATGCTGTATGGGAAAAAGTATAACAATAATAAAAATAAAGTAAATTTTTTTATTTGACTTCATTCATGTTTCGTTTTTTAGCTCAATGTTACCTTATTTGTTCATTCCTTAGCTAATAGTTAATTCTTTGGCTCTTTTCAGTATTTTATATACTGAGTTAGATACTATTGCTTATCACTCTCTCCCCTCCAGCCCAGCTTCTCTCTCTTCACTCTCCAGCAGTATTTAAATGTGGTCAGGTTCTACTGCTGTCTCATACTAAGCCTAAACTTTCTTCCCTCTCAGCTTCAGTTCTTTTGGTTTAAGTTTATAATATAGCTCAATTCAATCACTAACTCACAATCCCTGTAATATTCTTCCTCTGACCTGTTATCCTCTTTGCTTTATGAGATCTATCTGGATAGTTAGAAGGGAAGATGCTCTTACTTTGAAGGCCCAGTGCTTTAGATGCATTTTCACATTCTTACCTCCTAATCATGTTAACAGGCCTGCAGAGAACTACCAATAAAACAGTAATTTGAGTGTTGATGTGATGAAACAGACTTCTAAACCATGAAGGAAACTTGGCCTTAAACACTGACTTTGCTCACAACTACTCTTAGGGGATGTTTTTTTTTTCATGGCAGTCTCCTCGGTACAACCGACCATCCAAGGCTATTCCAGTGTTGCCATTTTGACAAACTTTTGTACTGCATCAGAGTCCACTAAATAAAGCCAACCATTGTATAAAAGGGTTTTTATGGTCCTAAAATGTTATATATCAATACCCAGGAAAATATTAAATACTAGATACTGTCATCAATGATGTGGGGAGCCAGAGCAAGCAACAAACAACAACAAGGAACCAGCAGTGAGTGACTGCAGAGGTAGTGTATATAAGGGGAACAGAACAAAGGATGGGCTAATGAGCTGAATAAGGAGCAGGTGTGAGTGGAACTAACTAGAAGGAAGCCAAAGGGAAAGGAAACAAGCACAAGGGGGCAAAAGAGTGTAACTAAAGACTGCTTGGATATAATGCAGGGGCGGAGCTAGATGGGGGGCCAGGTGTGGCCATGGCCACCCTTACCTAATCATTGGCCACTCCTGTGGCCACTCCTAACATTTTTTCCCTATAATACAGACGTTGGCAGCAGTAATACTCTCAAGTGGAATGTTCTAACAGATTTAACATTGAAATTTTCTATATGTAAACAATTACCTGACAACAAAAACCCCATGGTTAATTATGCACACTAATATACTAACATTAAAGATAAAAACAGAATTCATGCTCTTTTCAGAACTAGCTTTTTTTCTTATATGGGGTAAAGAGAAAATTATGTCTCTGCATGTCATCTAGGAATCTTCACGGAAATCAGAGATAAATAACTACTTTAATAATAAGTAATCTATTGAATGTAGATGTTGGTACATGTAAATATTAATTTAATGATGAATTATGAATGATTATTAATAAAAGTAGGTTATTATGATTATTAATGATAATGAAAAAGATGTTCGCCCCAGAACTAAAAACTCAAAGAATTTTGTCCACTGCACTTTTAATTTACACAGCATGGATGTTTAAATATATGCGTCTATTTGTTAGCAAAGGCTGTAGGAAAGTATAGTTTGTCTTTATTTAGAAAATATGGATGTTGTGATTGTTCATTTTCCTGTTGGAACAGTGTAGATTGACCCTGAGGTTCCAGCACCTATCCGCTTTAGGCCACCCCTCAGGGTACATTGGTTATTGCCTGGCCATCCTGATAAAAATGTTCTGGCTACGCCTCTGATATAATGGAGAATAAAACCAAAGAGAAACAAAACAGAATAACTGATAAATGAAACCTATAAGCTCTAAAAGGAGAGAATCATAACAGATACAATATTATTGATACCATGGGGATAAAAATGTGGAATAATTAAAGCCATGGAATTGATATGAGAAACTTACCTTTTTGAATCTCAACAGGGAACAGGCTTCTTCAAAAGAATCACAGATGTTCAGTTAATTAGTAATAGAAAAATATGACTTCTCTTTGGTATTGATGTCTTGTCAAATTAGTATTATATCTTATTACAGGGGCTGAGTACCAATGCTTATTGGAGCATCGAGATTTTGACAACACTTTATTACAAAATATAAATTTGGGGAATAAAAAATGTTATTTCCATGAAGCTTCCACCATTTTTTTTATCTTCTTCTGTTCTCCTGTATGAAGACTGGTGGGTTCCTCAGGAAGAATGGAAGTAGTTTTAAACAGCGGTTGATGGGGATCCACAAAAACAAAAAAAATCAGTTTTGTCCACGCCTGCCTTCCTTAAGAAACTTGTTGATAGCATTTGTATGTACAACATTTATAAACTCGGATTCAAGCTAGAGTAGTTCATCTGGAAGTTCATCTGGAAGTAGTTCATCACTTCATTCCAAGATGTAAGTTTTAAAAACAACACAGCAGAGGAAGCCAAAGCACTTATTCCTGCCTCGGTGTCTTGTTCTCCAGCAAATCCTAGGAGGCCTTATGCTTTTTTTTTTTTTTTTTTTACATTTTTTAGGAAGCAAAGATAAAAGCAAGTTAATCTTTTCCTGGTTTAACTCTGCGTTACATTAACGCAAAGTCTAATGTTTGTATATCTTCTGTGTATATATATATATATATATATATATATATATATTCTATCTTATTTTGCTGTTTTGTTTTGTTTTTTGTCTGCACCAACAACACCAAGTCAAATTCCTTGTAAGTGCAAACCTACTTGGCAATAAACTTGATTCTGATTCTGGGTTTGTTCATACTTCTTTTTTTTTTTTTTAAAGTTATTGAGTTATATTGTTTTTGTCAGAGTATCGCTAAAAGAATCATCAATGGGATAAAAACAGACAAGCAGTAGCTGGATGATTGCACATATTTATGAGACAAGCATATAACAATATACAAAGCCATTATATCATGATAATAATATAGGTTAAGTACTTGGTTAGATTAAAGTGAGTTAGTTTTTTACATTTTAAAACAAAAGCAGAAATATGGCAGTGTTCAAAGCATATGTCGACTCATCAATATGGCTCCGAATCAAACATTTGGCTCCAAGTTTTTCATAGTGGCTACAGTCATTAAAGATCCTAGTCCGAGTCCAGCAGCTTTGCTCCTCCTGCTGGCGGAGCGGAAACACGAGCGATGAAGAAGTCCTCAACAATCGGATATTTAGGTTATCACTAAACACAAATCCTCATTTCTATATCCAGATGTAGGCATTAGAATATACACATCAACACACATGACAGTTTAGACGAAGGTTTAAATACTGAGTGGTTTCCTGCAGCCTTGCAGGAACCAGTGAAGCTGCCATGTTACTGCAGATCTCGCTCAGGTTATTGAAACCTCCTACGTTGTTCTGTAGTGTGAAGAATGACAAAAAAGGGAAAAGAATATGGATCTGAAAGCTGCGCAACGTTCTCTCTTTTTTTCCCACCTACTGGATCAAACATGCTTTTCTCCTTGGTAGATTAACATACAGATTATAGCATTCAGAATTATAGCACACCTTCTGTACAGTACTAGGCATTTAAAATTTCCCCACTTTCCTTGAGGGGCCCTTGGCTGGTCCTTTTCAATTAAAAAAACATCTTTGTACTAAAATATTCTTTCTGTCATGATTTGTGGACATAAGATCTAGAGAAGCGTCATCTCCTTGTTAGACCCTGATATGCAGTGAAAGGGTGGAGTCAGAGTAAATAAAAAGCACACCCAGGAGAAGGCCAGTGGCTGGAAGTTGGAGGGGATTTGGCTGGGAGTCGCAGGCTGCTATTCGGCCGCCATTGACTAAGAAGGGCCATTTTTAATGGCTGCTACTGTATAAAATGTATTCTGATTTATCTGAAGCAGTAAAGCTCAGGTCTGGGTGTGTTTTTGCAACAAATGTGTTGGATTTCATTGCCTGAACCACAAGTCTGAGCCAGTCACACATTCATCACTCAGTTGCTTCAATACTTCTTAAGCCACTGTCAACAACCTGACGCCACTTTGTTACACAGGGCATTTATTAAGGCTTGCATTCCGATGAACAAAGAATCTTGATGTTGTTCTTTCAAATCCAGGCTGCTACACTCTATTTCTGCTGGGAACATTTACCGTGACATCCTCAGCCACGGGAACCTGGAAGACTGGGAGTGTTTTAAATAGATCCGACCATCTCCAGTCCACAAGTATACAGGTACTAAACTATGATTTTAAAGCTGCTCTTAGTATCAGCTTTTTCACATGCAGGTTCTGTATATTCTGGGAAACATTGAAGACAGTTGCTTTTCTTCCCAGCAATAAATCACAGTATTTAAAAAAAAGTTGTGACTGCAATTTTGAGACTGTACAGAGACCCCACAAGCTTAAAGTTTGTTCAAAGGATAATGATTGGAAAATAGATCTTAACTCCAAGGTTTTACAAAGGGGCGTCAAATTGATGTACATGAGAATACATGAGGCCACTGATGAGGTGTTTGACCATAATGTACATCACTATATTTGGTACAACCAAAACAAAGTACATCAGCATAAATACCTTATTCCAACCATCAAGCAAGGTGGTGGAGGGCTGATGATATGGGCTCGCTGTTCAGCCCCGCCAATGATCTCTTCTACAGTATATCCCAAAGTATTCCATTTGAGGCCAGCTGTCCGGCAGCTGAAGCCTGGCTCATTCTAACAGCAAAACCTATTTTTATGTAACAAGCTATTTCTTAAGTTTAAAGTGGAGGTAATGGAGTCTTTGGCTGTTATAAAGTTTTTAAAGCACAACTTCTCCATTTTATTTGTTTTTTACTAATTGAGAGGAAGCAGAATCTGATTTTCTTCATATTTAAGGTTAAAGTTTTTACTTGAAAATGATCTGACACATAAAAGCTTTAGTTAGATTATGATGACCCCTGTATTTTTCTTTTTTTTCCCAAATAATTATCCTTATTATGTTTTTAAAAAACACACAAACTTTTCTCCAGCTGGACCACTTACTAAGTGCCCTTAGGAATCAGACCTGATTTCAGATTTTCATTAGTTTTTGGTTTGAATTAAAACAGATGTGGAAGCTGGAAATTCAGAGTCCAGCTTTGGTTGATAGCTTGTTGGATGTGACTGAGGTTTTATCTGTATTTTGAGACTGCATATGTCACTTAAGTTGAGGCACAGAGCGGATCTATGCCAAAAAATACAGCTGCTAAGGTGCAGGAGAGTCCTCGCACGTAAAAAATGTGAAATAATTTTCCCAAAAAAGTGCACTTCTCTATACTGCACACAGATCAAGGTACACGGATCCATTCGACACAAGTGGGGTTTCAAGAGCCAAAGCAGACATTCTGATGTAACAAATAAACCCAAAAAAAGGCACATAGAAAACAACATAAAAAAACAAATAAATATGAACTTAAATCAACCAGTCTGACGGTTTCATTGCTAAATTTACAGGTTTCCTCTGATATCCTAGTCACCTGAAGGCACATCAATGTATTTTTTCCACAGATGAGTTTTTCTTTAAGAAAAAAAGTGATTCCTTTAAAAAACATCAGGTTCAGATGTGTGGGGAGGAGCTCAGGGTTCCCTTGTAAAAAAACATCTTTGGTCGGCTCCGTCTGCATCCTGGTAAACGCGTTTTGGAAATTCATACTTCATTCTTACTACTGTATATGGTCACTAAAGCAACAGCTGGCAAGCAGAGAGAACAACAAGTGTTTACTTGTACAAAGGGATATAAAAGAGGTCTTAGTACAAGAGAAGAAGTGTATATAAGCACTGATACAGGCAAACTATACTGAGTTGGTATCCTCCTTTGGCTGAAGGACGTGGCTCCACTCGTTGACGTCTGGACCGAGGAAACCTCCCCGCCCCAGAGCGGAGAACTGGCTGCTCTGCTGAAAGAACGAAAGACGAGTCAGTAAAGGAGCACAGCAGCAAACACATCCAAATACGTCATAACCTGAATTATCTGTGAATTCAGCTAGAGATAAAGAATGATGAAACTTTTTTGTTTTATAACTAAACAATCAGCCTTTTGTTCAGGCTCCTCTGGTAAAAATCTGCATCCTTTTGGTGAGGGTCTCCATTATGATATACATCCAAAAGCAATAACTGTGTATGGTTTTGATGTGAAAGATGAATGTATGAGATGAGATCAGCTTTTCATTTTTGGGTTCTGGATCTGAGGCCCCTGTCACACCTTGCCGATTTAGCCAGTGTTCGCTTGACGTCCCAGAATCTTCTAAAACAATCTAAAAGAATCTTTATAATAGGGATGAAGTCTGGAGGAGAACTGACGATTTCCTCCTGTGAACCCCCTTTTATACCAAAACGCTGATAGTACACCATTATACAGTAGCTGGAAGTTAGAAACACGTTCAGCGGTCGTCTGGAACACGTCAGATACGTTAATATGCTTTGGAGTTCTTGATAAGTTTTTCACAAGTTACTCATAGGTTCTGGATAAGCCGGACACCACGACTTATGAGTAAATTACATTTAACGTATGTCAATGATCTGATAACTAAACTGTAACTTATGGCCCACATACGGCACATGCTGGCAAACGTCAAAAAAATTTCGAGCATGCTCAAAATTTCCCGACGTACTTGCCGTATGTCGACGTGTGCCAGCGTGCTTATACAAACGTACCTGATTGTTCATGCATCAGGGATATGCTGGTCTAAATCGTCAAGGTGTGACAGGGGCTTTACACACATCCACTAAGGTAGAGTATCAAAGGTTTGGAACATAAAGCGCTGCTGGTTTGGAGAATGAATGTTCTAATCTGGAACAGGCCAGTTTGAAGGGCTCCCAATGGGTTGCTTATGGGTTCCACAGCCTGAAAATATTCATTTTAACTCAACTGGTCCTGAATGGACCTTTGTTATGAGTGTGCTCATAAGGTTGGTTGCAGTGGTGAGGGCAGAGTAATAGTAAGATTTAGCTGTGTTGTTTTATAAAATGAATAAAGATTAGGGAGCTGATCCTAGAAGAAGCCATTCAAGGCCAGATCATGACATTACTTTCACTGTTTGATGGTGGAGAATGTGAGTTTGTTCTTGATGATTTGGTTTTGGTCATTTCTAACAATTTTCTGTTTTCTCTGAATGTTTGGTTTGGATGATTTCCCACCTAACAGTTGTTCGGGGTTTGTTTTTTTTATAATGTTTCTATCGCTGACGGATAACATTTTCTTTTTAATATCTCATAACCTTGTTCTGTGGGACACTCCAGTGGGTTGTTCAGATGAATCAACACCTCTAACAGATTTTTCTACCTTCGTATTTTTCATTTTCAGGCAGGCCTCCGGTTGTTTTGTACCCACAGTGCTTTAAAACTATAGACTGGTACCTAAATACCCTTTCTTTTGAGACGTTTAGTGATTTTGACTCAATGGTTATTGGATAGGCAAAAGCAAGGAGAGAGGGGGAGAGACAAGCAGGAAAAAACCACAGGGCGGATTCAAACCCAGGTCGCACGTGTCGAGGACTAAGGCCTCCACACATGGGTGGGGTGTGCTAACCATTGCACCATCAAAGCACGCCCTTCAGCCTGGTTTTAAGTAGCACCCTGATTGGTCTAGTTTATATTAGCCTTTCTTTGTTCTGTTGGGAAGCTGCTGTCTTAGTGCATCTAGATCTTTCTGCTCTTCCCCATTGATCTGTTTTGCATGTTTTTAAAGTCTTCACAAGTGTAAGGTTGAATACAGTCGATCAGAGGCGTCACATAAGTTGTGTGTAATAGAGGTGGGCGATACCGGGATTTTTTAATCGATCCGATACCAAGTAAATACTGGGTAAGTATCGCCGATATCGATACCGATACCGATACTTTTTACATTTAAGCTGCACTTGCCTGTTGCTTTTTTTCTATAAAGTTCTCAATCGTGGAATAAATAAGAGATTATCTAATGTTAGCTTATTTTAGCTAACAATTTTTAATGGGATAAATGTACTGGGTTTTTTCAAGGTCTTAACTACACTTTCTGAGTAATATATGATGTATAATGAAGTGCTGCAGACGATGACCACTGTTATCTACCTGGATATTCTCTGGAGGACTGAAACGCTTGGGTCAAAGATGTCTGTCTGAGGCTGGAGGCGGGTCTTTGGTCTCTCTCTCCATCCAAGTCTGAGTGAGCACTCACCCAGCAACCGGCAGCGCGGTTGTCTGTGTGACGTAGTGCTGAGTGGGCAGGCCAAGCTAAGCCTGCGCGCTGATTGGCTGGCGCCGCTGAGCCATGTGACTGTAGGAGAGGGGAGGGGGAGCAAAGTGCTGTTACACATATGGGGAAACTGGTGACTCCGCAGCAGTCAGCGCGCGCGAGAGAGGATAAAAAGTATCGATCTTGTTAAACGAATATTGTTCAATATAAATACCAGCGTTGGTATCGATAGTATCGATCCTGGGATCGATCCGCCCACCTCTAGTGTGTAAGTTGTCTGTGCAAGTTCAGGGGGGTAGGCCTCTCAGCAATTTTTTTTTTCATTTTTGTATTAAATTAATTTGTTTTACATGATTGTGTCTGTTTCTGTCAAGGATAAATAAAATATGTAAAAATCCAAAAAATGTAGCTGATTTCTTATTGCTTGTCATTACACCGCCCTGATGCAGCATTAGAGAACACAACCGATTTTGCAGAGACCAATCGGGTTCTGAGATAGGAAAATAATTGTGGAAAATGGAGTAATTTAATAAGTCACTATGGAGATTGAAGGATTAATTAATCAAACCTTATAAGAGATGACTTTCACGGACAGCTGTTAATCAGTTTCATATGTCAAGATGCCAACAAAAAAGTGACAGAGCTGACTTACTATAATGCAACACGCTGCACTGTTGATTGTTTTACCCCTTTCTAAAATAATAAGCAAAATTTCAAAGCTTTGTATACAGGTGCTGGTCATAAAATTAGAATATCATGAAAAAGTAGATTGATTTCAGTAATTCCATTTAAAAAGTGAAACTTGTATATTATATTCATACATTACATACAAACTCATATATTTCAGATGTTTATTTTGTTTAATTTTGATGATTACAAATGACAACAAATGAAAATCTCAAATTCATCATATCAGAAAATTAGAATATTACTGAAGACCAATAAAAACAAAGGATTTATAGAAATGTTGGCCAACTGAAAAGTATGAACATGAAAAGTATGAGCATGTACAGCACTCAGTATTTAGTTGGGCCTCCTTTGGCCTGTATTACTGCAGCAATGCGGCGTGGCATGGAGTCGATCAGTCTGTGGCACTGCTCAGGTGTTATGATAGCCCAGGTTGCTCTAATAGTGGCTTTTAGCTCTTCTGAATTGTTGGGTCTGGTGTATTGCATCTTCTTCTTCACAATACCCCATAGATTTTCTATGGGGTTAAGGTCAGGAGAGTTTGCTGGCCAATTAAGAACAGGGATACCATGGTCCTTCAACCAGGTACTGGTAGCTTTGGCACTGTGTGCAGGTGCCAAGTCCTGTTGGAAAATGAAATCTGCATCTCCAAAAAGTTGGTCAGCTGCAGGAAGCATGAAGTGCTCTAAAACTTCCTGGTATGTGGCTGCGTTGACCCTGGACCTCAGAAAACACAATGGACCAACACCAGCAGATGACATGGCACCCCAAACCATCACTGACTGTTGAAACTTTACACTGGACTTCAAGCAACGTGGATGAAGTGCCTCTCTTCTTTTCCTCCAGACTCTGGGACCTTGATTTCCAAAGGAAATGCAAAATTTACTTTCATCAGAGAACATGACTTTGGACCACTCACCAGCAGTCCAGTCCTGTTTCTCTTTAGCCCAGGCAAGACGCTTCTGACGCTGTCTGTGGTTCAAGAGTGGCTTGACACAAGGAATGCGACAGCAGAAACCCATGTCTTTCATACGTCTGTGTGTGGTGGTTCTTGAAGCACTCACTCCAGCTGCAGTCCACTCTTTGTGAATCTCCCCCACATTTTTGAATGGGTTTTGTTTCACAATCCTCTCCAGGGTGCGGTTATCTCTCTTGCTTGTACACTTTTTTCGACCACATCTTTTCCTTCCCTTCGCCTCTCTATTAATGTGCTTGGACACTGAGCTCTGTGAACAGCCAGCCTCTTTAGCGATGACCTTTTGTGTCTTGCCCTCCTTGTGCAAGGTGTCGATGGTCGTCTTTTGGACAACTGTCAAGTCAGCAGTCTTCCCCATGATTGTGTAGCCTATAGAACTAGACTGAAAGACCATTTAAAGGCTTTTGCAGGTGGTTTGAGTTAATTAGCTGATTAGAGTGTGGCACCAGGGGCCATCAATTTTGAACCTTTTCACAATATTCTAATTTTCTGATATGATGAATTTGAGATTTTCATTTGTTGTCATTTGTAATCATCAAAATTAAACAAAATAAACATCTGAAATATATGAGTTTGTATGTAATGTATGAATATAATATACAAGTTTCACTTTTTAAATGGAATTACTGAAATCAATCTACTTTTTCATGATATTCTAATTTTATGACCAGCACCTGTATAATAGCCATATCTGTGTGCCTGGTTTATTCTTGCAAAACGTAGCCAACACAGCGTTTGCAGCATTTTATGCTCCATGTGGCTTTTCCCCGCTGCAGGTTGCAACCTCACACTCCAAACAGAAGTAGAAACCACTGTTGTTTCCATCATTTTCAATGCTCCTTTGTCTCATCCAGGAGTGACCACAATTTCTGGCCGAGAGGTGTTTGCAAGCTGTTGATTATGATGATATTTATGAACAACGTTTCTGCTTAGTTCCAGATTTTCCTAGGTGTGGAAAACTCAGGCAGTGCAGCAGCTGCATGGAAGCTGATGGATGCTAAAATGGGTCAAGCATGAATCAAACTTTATTCATGTGCAGTTATGCATCAATATCAAAGAACAGAGCTCAAGTTGGTACCACTAATTGTAAATTTGGTTAGCTTGTCTGTCTGCTATATTGATCAATATGATGTGTTGAACTAGATCTGCGTGTATAAAGTAGGGCATAAATTCATACAAATTTTCATTTAAATTCATCATGCATCAACGTTGAACTGCACGGCAGCATTGTGTCTCCAGCAATTGTAGTGTCTAGGCAATAGCTGTCAGTCTGGTAAAGACTGCAGACGAAAATTAAGAATAAATCTAAGATGGCTGTCAAAAAACAACACTGAATGGTAGAGAATGAGACCTGTGAATTTCCAAGGTATATTGAAGGATGTTCTTTTTCCAAGTGGGTCATCAAAATAAGTGGTCATCCTAATTGGCCATCCTTCATGCTTATCCCCATTTTCACTTACCGTTGGTGAATCCGACGTGGTGGAATTGCTTTTGGAAAGTAAACCAAGCGTTTAATAAGAGTTTCCCTTGGAGTGGGTACATGGTTGTCCATTTTTTTTAATTGGAGAGGGCAGATCTTATCAAAAATTGGAAAATTCTCCATTATACCTTTAAGGTGTAGTTGATCAACGAATAAACATTATGTTCTCTGATTCTTCTCGTTTAGGGACTCATGTTTGACTGATGTCTCTGAGTGCGACTGTTTACCTTCGCTTTTATTCTGCAGTCCAGGTATTGCTGCACGTTGCAGGACTCCTCTGGAGGGGCCATGCTGGGGGCCACAGTCAGAGGGCTGATGGTGGCTGAGGAGCCCACTGGAGACTCACTGCTGCTCCACTGGGTGTAGCCGGAACCTTGGTGATGACTCTGATGCAGAGACACATTGACCCCGCTGAGGTCCGGAGGTCCAGAGTGAGAAAGAGGACCTCGCCCTGCTGGGCGGGAGGAGAAGTGCTGCTGGAACATACAGCTGCTCTGGTTGCCTGCCAGGCCCCTCTGCTCAATGTTGTTCAGTTTGGTGACACCGGCACCTGGGAACAGTTGGTTCTGGAATAGATGCATCATGTTATGTTCATTCTGCCGCTGGGTTTGAGGCCACTGCTGAAAAGAAGCGTTGTGGTTTTCCAACATCATGCTCTTCTGAAGGAGCTCTGGAGGATAACCAACAGAAAGGTCGGAGGTGTTAGAGGAGGGGAAGCTGTCAAAGGGGATCATGGCTGGCAGAACGTTCTCTACACCAGATGCTGTGCTGCTCAACTGTTGAGCTGAGCCTTGTAGCATCTGCTGGGTCTGAACAGAACCACCCTGAGAGGAGCTCACTGGTCCTAAGGAACCCTGATGACAGGCCTGCATAGTGGGGAAGGCGTTGTTGCCTGAGATGTTGGGCATAGTGAGCTGAGGAAGCTCAATGGTAGGGCTGAAAATGTCATGAAGCTGCAGCTGCTGAAGAGCAGACAGGCTGCTGTCAGCATGAGTCCCCTGATGGGAGAGTTTCTGCTTCCCGCTCACCATTGGAGCAGACTCGGCTGGGCCTTGCCCTACAATCGCGGCTCCGCCAACGGTTTCTCCAAGGTGTGTGAAGTGGCTGTTTACTGGTGAGTAGGAACATGTGGGACTCTGAGTGGGAAACAGCTGTTGCTCACACAGTTCAGGGGATGAGAAGCTGTTCACCTCTTTAAGGCAGCTGGCAGTGAGGCTGCTGAAGCACTCCTCCCCCCTCTCCTTAAATACAGAGTCAATAAAGTCTACAATCTCATCAGTAATGAAGTTGTCCAGATCGGACTCAGCGCTCCTCTGTGGATCCTCCTCCTGGTGTACTCTCTTAAAGCAGTTTTCCAACTCCATCATCTCAGCATCATCTACCTCCAGATTTCCCAAAACTTCCTCAAATTCTCTGCTTTGTGTCAGTTTCTCCAGGCTGTCGATCACGGCTGCCACCGACTGCTTGGCTTCTTCCTTCACCAGCACAGGCTCAGCCGGTGGGGAGTTATTCTCTTGCCACCCATTGCTGGCAAAACTGACCAGGGCGTGGCTGTCCATGAACATCTGGTCTATGGGGAGGGGGGTATCCACTTTCTGGGTGTAGAAAGACTCCTCTTGTCTTAGGAAGCAGTCCAGCAGAGACTTGGGGAACACGTCCTTCTTGGCTCCCTCACCCTGGGACATCTTGTTGTACTGAAGTTGGGAGATGTCCATGCTGGACTCTGTGTTGTAGAGGATGGCCTCTCCTGTGTTGCAGGTGAAGGGGAGCTGGAGTTGTCGCTGCCGCAGATACTCCTCCCCCTCTGCGTTGCTGAAAGAGAGGAGCCAGAGAACAATGCATCAACCATACGATGGAATCTACTTACAGCTAGTTTGGTCTGGGTTTAGAGGTCCACTCACGTCAAAGCCTTCTGGAAGGCAATGATAAAGTCAGGCCTTCCTCCTTTGTAGATGAGCTTGGCGTTAGAGTTGACCCACAGCCAGCCATTGGATTTGCTGAGAAGTCTGAATACAGTCAGCCCGCTCTCTCCTGTTTTAATCACTGCATTGTTACAAAAAAAACACAGAATTTCAGTTATTGAAATGGTTATGATTCTCCACTCGTGTGAGTCTATCATTTAACCACAGAAGCTTCAAAAAAGGGAAATGATCACAGATGACCTCATAAACTCTCATCCCTGTGGTCGAACATGAACCGATTTATTTGCAATATTCTGTGTCAGACCAACACAAAGTGGGGGGGGGGGGTACATGATCAATACGGAGGCCCTTAAGTCTACTGTTTTGATGGTGACCTTTCACTGCAGACCGAAGGTTTTTTGGGAAATATTTCATTCAGATTTTCACATCGTGAAGCTGAAATAAAAAAATAAAAAATCATCTTTGACCCTAAGGTTGCTGCCCATTCTAGGTCAAGGTCTGCAATGTTCACATTTTAGACATCAATGTGAATTCTGGGATGAACTTTAACTAGGCCAATTTGACATACATATGCTTTGAATATGCTCCTCTGATCCATTGTACCTTTGGCTGTATCTTTAAGGTGGATGTTTGCTGGGAGGGGGACCTTTGCCTGGCCTCAGGTCTTTTATGGCTTTTAAGAGCATTTTTCTTCTTTCATCTCTTCCCCATCCACCTCTTTCTCCTTTTTTTAATCCTGTTTAATAACTGAGGTTGTGGCAGATTCCAGGACTGTCTCCTCTTTGCTATGCATATTCTCATATTCACCACCAGGGGACTTTGGTAAGGTCATGGTTGATTGCGCAGGTCAATCCCATCAACCTCGTCCAGTAATGGTGTTCATAAGGAGCCTGCTACCAGCCTTTCAACACCTGAGGGTTTTTTCCAGGCAGTAAACTTTAAGCTACTGTTATCTCCTTCCCTGTTTCTAAGACGAAAACAAACCTTTTTATCCTCCTCTGGTTCTTTTCTCCAGATGCTCAGATATGTCTGCTGTTAAAACCTTTGGAAACTGCTCCAACATTCAAGTATCAAGATTATTTCCTGGTTTCAAACTCTGGCTGGCAGGACCCTAAGTTTTGCTCTTGAATTGATACCTGCCACCTCCCACAGATCACCTTTAAAATCATGACAGGAGCCAACATTATTCTGTTACTCTCAGGTTCCTGTTTCAAGCCCTTGTGGGTTTTCCAAAGCTGCTTCAAAAAAATAGGTTTAACTAACTTCCTGGATCCTCATCATTATTATTATTCCCTTGCTGACATTTCGACACATACCTGCAAGCAACCTTTATGGTAAATAACCTTATCAAACCATCTACAAATCTGATGCTGGATTGCTGTTAATTTACAAAATTAGGTTAAATAAACGTTTTAAACGTTTTTCTACATATGAGTTAGATATTTACCTAAAATAATTACAGAGGCCTCAGGACAAACAGACCCAACCGACGTTCTCAGGGGAACTCTCTCTGATCAACAACATCAAATTAAATCCTACGAATCTGCTCTCTGAAGCCTCTCTGAGCAGCAGGGCAACACCAACCGACAACTAAAACAGATGGCCGGCCTCTTACAACAGATTACCAGTAACCAATCCTCCTGACCTGCAGAGGGCACCACCAGTCCACCGGCAGCTCACTCATACTCATTTCTTATTGATCCAGTGGGACTTTGATGATCCTTGTGCAGCCATGGGGTTGCCCCCTTAGCATGGATGTAGGGGTTTCCCTATAGACACTCTATCCCTACATTCAAAAGCTGCAATCTCTGTCTGCTAGTGGGAGTGTTTACGCACTTGCTTGAGTGTTTGTGAGATTAGAGACTATGAGGTGCAGGATGGGCGCCATTGTAACTGTCAAAATAACTTGTGTTCATTGCTCTTACTCAAATACCTACCAATGATAGATTTTTTTTTAAGGCCAATGCTGATGTACATTTTTTTCAACATTAGACACATATTCCACACATGTGCTGTCGACATTTTTGGAAAATCTTTTTAAATTTCAAAAACTGACACATTGATAAATGTTACACAAGTGTCAATTTATACAAAAAATAATGATCTATAAACAAATTAACAATGAATAGCCGATGGAGGAGCAGCAATGTATGTGCTTGATTGGATCTTAAGGCGTGGCAGCTAAATGCTAAATTCGAGGTCCTGAAGCAGACAGATTTCTTACATCTTTGTTAAATAGGGAGGGAGGCCATTAGCTCATTACTAATAAGCATGATGGCCTCATTTCAGCTTAATTCTAACAACTATCAATGTAACTGTCAGTCACACGTTTTTTCACAAGTGTCCTGAGCCACTCAGCACACTTGGAATACATTGGACGAGCAGTATGGAGGAATATTGACACGTTTTTTGTGGACTTTTATGGACCTTTCTGTCTCGGGCACCATGGACCTCCATTATTTGAATGTCAGCAGACAGCAAGAAGCCTCCCAGATCTCCAGATGCATTTGAAATATCAAAAAAGCACTCCAGAGTGTTGTTCAGCATGGGGGTGAGTAGAAAATGAAGGCTAATCATGTTTTGGGTGTACTATTCCTTTAAAGACAGATACATGGCAGCAGAAGGTTGAGGCACATGAATTCTTTGTAAACTTTTGTTTATTCGGTGTTTGAATTAACACCGGTGTCATCACCTGACGTTGGTTTGTAATGCAATCATAAGAAATCATGTGAGGAGAGAACTTACTGCGTATGTGGTTGTCAGCACAGTGCATCATATCACCAGCATGGATGAACTGGTAGCCGGAGCCTCTCATACACAGTTCAGCCTCAGTGTAACCCAGAATGATCTTCCCCCTGAAGAGGCAACCAAGAAAAGTCAAAGCCAAGTCAGTGCTGGTGGATCCGAGTCAAGGACGTTCAGATGCTCTTCATGTTCACCAATGTTTTACTGCAGGCATCCCAAAATCGGTCCTCAATGGCCACTGTCCTGCAGGTTTTAGAGGTTTCTCAGCGTTAGCACAGCTAATTGTGATGATTGCAGTTCAGCAACTCTGCTAATCAGCTATCAATGAAAATCAGCTGTGCTGGAACAGGGAAACCTCTAAAACCTTCAGGACAGTGTTCCTCGAGGACCGACTTTGGAGATCATAGAAGCTAAAAAAAAACTCTCTAATCACAGTTATCTCTGGTTTTGATTATTCTGTTCTAGGAACCAAAGTAAATACAAAATATGTGTTGTGATGTTATGTCAGACCTGCTGTCCACGCCTGTGGGTGTGAAGTCCAGCTTGTGCTTTGTTTGGAAAAGAAGCATCTTGGCTCTGATCTCCACGATGGAGGGAGGCTGAACGGGGATGGCGATGGCAAACAGAGTCAGCTGAACCTTTTTAGAAGTCTCGATGTCCCTGGAAAGGTTCTGACCGTGGAGATACTTTAGCCGCCCATGGAACTTCAGTGCCTGTTTCAAGAGAGCCTCGGTGTTAAATGCAGGATTTAATATTCTTCAGCATCCCAAATGAAGTTTGCACAAACCAGGAAGCCGGAGGAGTTGTCCAAGAGACATCGGAAGCGGCACACAAAGCTTCGCTCCAGGAAAGATGAGCTGTCAGGGGGGAGCTGCTCTGGGTTGTACATGACTGCTTTACTACAGCCCTGCGAGACTGAGCAGGAACAAACATCAACACATGATGCAACAGGATGAAGGCTAAGCTGATACATGTGGAACCAAACTTCATGTTCAGCAGATAAGAAATCAACCATGCAACATTTAAAAATAACAGTTCTATGTACTCCAAAAAACTAAACAAAAAAAAAAACTCTGGACTCTGTTGTCCAAGCTTGAAGACTTAAGTTCTGTGTTCTAAACAATCTGCAGCCAGCGTGGGCCTCTTTAGACGGACAACAGTAGAGACTGTAGAAAACACTTACATTCTGCATCCGAGGCAACCGGGGTAGGATTTAAAGCAAAATGGAGCTGCTCTCTGAACATGGCTCGGTCATCGGTGTGGATGAGCTCAAACACACTCTGGTGGACCACATCAGACTAATGGGAGAAAGGACAACAACATATCACCCTCAGCTTGCTCCTCAAGGTCAGCCATTCGACCGATATATAACCGATAAACATTCAGAGCAAAGAAAGTCAAAACTAGGCTTTGAAAAAAAAAAAATATATATAAATATATATATATATATAGATATATAGATATATATATCTATACATACATATATATATATATATAGATATATATATATATAGATATATATCTATATATATATATATATCTATATATGTATATATATACACATAGATATATATATGTATATATATATATATATATATATTATTTTTTTTTTTCAAAGCTTAGTTTTGACTTTCTTTGCTCTGAATGTTTAAGCTTTCAATTCCAAAACTAGCTAAAAGTTTCAAATCAAAAATCTGCTGATAAACTGAAGGACGAGCTCTTTCCAGAACATCTAATTGCTCCTCTCTGATTGATTTGCTCTTTCCAGAGTCTAGACTTATTTGAATAACAGTTGAATACCTTTTTGTTTCAACCTTTTTTTTATTCTTATTCTTAGGATTCTTAATTAAAACTCCTGTATATTTTTGTTTAATCTCATTAGTATCTTTCATTAAGTCTTGTTAGTATAACCATATTTAGACTCGGTGGCTCGCCTACCTGATGGAAGCCCAGGTATTCCTTGATGGTAGGAGAGACATAGAACACCATTCCCTCAGATGTGACCACAAACACAAAGCCGTTCAGCGCCTGGACAGTAAACACAAACACAAAAGCTGATGAGGATGAAGAGCATCTCCACAAGTCAGCTAGATCTCTGCTGACACAGGGACATAGGAACATAGGACGTAACTAAAACATATTGTCAGCCTGCTTTAAAGGCTAAAATATTAGAATTGTGTAGATTAACGTTCTGCTCTCTCTGCTTTTTGTCATAGTAGCTTTGCCTCGTCTGTTCCTGTTTGGCTGTGACGCCATCCTGGAGAGAAACATAAGCTGTGCTGCTTCCATCAACACCCTTGTTTATAGATGCTGGAGATTGACCTGTTTTCCAGTGTAGTCCTGTTTCTCTGACCGTGACTAACTGGATGTGCTCTCTTCGTCCTCTGGCATGGGAGCTGGCTCAGAGCTCGTCTGCCTGGCTGTGTGTTTCCTTGACGGGGCCGCCTTTACAGCTGCTTTTTGTATCTCTGCTTCTGTCTCCTTGAACCCCAGTTGGCCTCAGCAGATGGCCGCTCACACTGAGCCTGGTTCTGCTGGAGGTTTCTTCCTGTTAAAAGGGAGTTTTTCCTCTCCACTGTTGCTACAAGCATGCTTAGTGTGAGGGATTGTATTTGAGTCAATGAGTCGATGCAATCAACTGGTTTTCCTTAGATAGAAAACTTTGAATCAATTTGACTGTATGATCTGGTTGAACTGTAAAGTGCCTTGAGATGACGTATTGTGAATTTGGCACTATATAAATAAACTGAATTGAATTGAATAGATGGCTATTAATCTGGACCAAACAGTATTAATGATTTAGCAAACATAGCATTAGGAATCTCTGCATAATTTTACATTTCAGTATTTTGGAACAGGCTTCTTTCTGGACAAAGAGAAACCAGTCCTACTGCCTTCTGTTTGTATACCTACATAAACCGGCAGCTGCTGCTACAGTTACACCATCACTATCTCCTGTTGCCTTTATGGACACGTGTAAACACATGCCTAATGGGTGAGAGCAGCATGTGATGAGTACAACTAGTCTATGAGCAGAAAGCTCAGAGAAAAAAAAAGAGACTTTTTTTAAACCCCTGAATAAAATGAAATGAAAACCGAAGCTGAACTTTTTGCCTTATGTGCAACTGGACATTGTCCTGAACGGACTGTAAAGTATGGTGGTAGAAAACTTTACGAGGGGAGTTAAATAGTTAATGCCCCTGTCCCACTTCTAGTTGTTGATATAGCTGAAATTTTGCATGTGCAATTATCTGTAGTTTCATTTCATCCAAAGTCTCCTGTGTTGTGCTTCCTTTCAAATACAAAAACCCAAATCCCTGCTTATTATTCAAAAGGCTCTATTTCTGACTTGGTTCAACCACCTGTAAATCAGAAACTGCAATTAGTTCAGAGCTGTAATTTGCCAATATAAATAATTGCACATGCAAAATTGCAGCTAGATCAAATAACATGACGTGGGTCAGGGGCATTATTTACTAAGGGCCATATATGGTGGAAATACTGAGGAGAGGATGTGGATCACATCAGGAAAACATCTGATAAGCAATAATATCGATTAACATGGCATATGACATGTGACAAACAATCTAACAATGAAGGCTATGGTGATAGTGTTTTTTTTTTGCGGGGTTCATTCCAAACAGACTAGATATAATTGCTTAACATTTTATTGTGATCAAAGCTGGCTCTTATGTTTTTGCAATAACTATAAATATGCAACATCCTTTTAAACTGTGGGTGAAATTCAGTCGTTCTCAAACTTACAGCCAGTCAGGTCCATGTGGTTAAGATCAAAGCTTATTTATGTGTAAGACAATCTGATGAAAGTCTGTAGAAAAGGTTCATAATTCCTCCAATCTGATTAAGCTTAAGCTATTTGAAAAGAAATATGGGTAAAAAGCTTTTGTTGCTCTGTAATTGTGACAGTGTAATGACAATAAAAAGCTGGAGCAACAGAGAAGGAAGCCAGGGTGTAGAAAGTGTTCTTTATCATTTATCTGTCCCAATCTCTCTCACCAGTGCTGCACTATGTTAATCCAATATAAACAGATTTGTTTTGGCTTGTTAGATCAGATGCGTCTGCTGTGGTGTGTTGACATGCGTATGTTGCGCTCAATGGTATTACCTAAATTAGGGGGTCGACCTAATTTACATACTAGATCTGGTTTACAGCATGCCCATCAGAGCTGTTCCCACTGCCACTAAGAACCGATTGTTCCTGGGTTTAAATGTTTTTTCGGCCAGTGGGAAAGGGGTATATGTGTCTCTGTGTTGCCCTGCAATAAACTGACGACCTGTCCAGGGTGTACCCGCCTTATGCCACAGACTGCCAGAGATTGGCACTGGCCCAACTGTGACAATGATGGAATAAGCGGGAGAAGATGGAGGGATGGATTAATTTTTTAATTTTTTTTTGGATGGATGAGTTTTAAAGTCAAATAATAATAATAAACAACTAAAATTTCACTTAATTTAAAAGTTCCAGAGATTTTATCCAATTTCTCACCTGGAGCAGCAACTCTCCTTCAGAAAAGCCAGGGGATTCCATATTCTGGCCGTTCACTCCAGGAGAAACCCGACTGTTGTTATTGTTCTTCATTGAGGCTATGCAGGAGGGAAAACACAGAATTGATAAGATTAAGTATCCTGCAGCTGATTAAAACCGAAGCTAAGCACATAAAAAATTACAGGAAAAGGAAATGTGTTTGCATTAATATGCTGCATTTAAGCTTTACTCCAAGCAGACCGTAGGATTAGTTTTGTTTCAGGTCTAAACATGGTGAGGACTGTTAAAGCACAGAATCGACCATCTACATTGCAGAGGTCTCAAATAATCAAAAGTGAAGCTTTTGCTTTAAATTATGAAAATAACTTTTAAAAACTCTTCTAACTTCGAACAGAAATCCTGCCTAAAGCAGTTAAATATTTTTAGAGCTCTGATATTAGCTGGGGTTATCCCTGTTTGATATTTATATCAGTTTGATATAAGGCAAAAAAATATATTATTTAGATTATTATTTAGATTATTTATAATTATCTTATAATATTTTTATTGGCCCACATCTAAAATCTCTGCTTTTATTAAAAGTTTCTGTAACTTAATGTGTCATTTTACATGGTAAATTTGTTTAAAACCTTTATTTTTCTTGCCTTTGTTCCCTGTTTCAGTAATATTGCTTCATCAAGCCTTTTCTACAATTGTACTTTTCTAACAGAGTATAAAAAATCTAATAAAAGCGATTTGTGCTAATATCATATCGATCAATATCGCTATCGGACAATTTTCAATTTCCAAGCTGTCCTTGCAAAGCATTAAGGAATTTTATGTCACAGCAGCCGGCTGTCTATTAACAAAGATGGCGCAGGCAGGAGGAGTTACGTGACCTACGGAGAGCAAAAAGCAGTGACCATAGTTAACTGAGTTCACTATAAAGTCCACTATTAAAGTCCCTGCTCTATATAGGAATTTAGGGTGGACGTTCAGACTCAGTAAGCTTGTATGAGCTATGACAACAGCAACTTTTAAACAGAGCATACACCAGGAGAAACGGGCTCGGGCACACTCTCGCACCTCACAGGAGCGGGTACAGGGTTGTGCATGTGCATTTTTTTTTTTTTACAATGGAGAGTCTTTCAAAAAATAGAAAAATTTTAATTGTTGGAAATCCTCCACAATACCTTTAAGGAGAGAGAAGTAAAGTTATTTCTGTACTGAGGAAAAATAAAAAAAATAGAAATACTCAGGCAAAGTACAGATAAAGAAAAAAGCAACTTAAGTATATAACAAAATATTTATACTTATTCACTTGACATCTTTGTTTTATTGTCATAATGAAACAAAACCAATCTTTACAGAGACCCACTTGGCAGACAGAGATTAAGAATATTTATATAGAAGTAAAAAAACATTGTTGATGTAAACAAAGTATAAATGATGTAATGAAATACAGCATGTATTTTGTGCATTAATTGCATTTGGTGGTAAACCAGTCAATGAATTGGGCAGATGGTCTGTCTGGTCGTTAGTGTGGGGGTAGAGTAAGTGAATATAGTTATTAAAAAAGGAAGTAAAACCCTCCTGACTTGTCAGCAACATGTGAGCTGCTGTGATTTCAGAGGGTTTCAGCAATCAATATTATACATGTATGTTGAAACAAGTCAGACTCATACATCGACTTGCTGATATTATTGTCCAAGTATTGTTATTGGCCGATACATGCGTTCATCTTGTAGTGGTGCGTCAAATGCAACGTAGATTCCCATCCAATTAGATTGAATTTGGTATTGATGACGTGAAAAATAATAACGGTAACTCCATTGAAATGATTCAACACTAAAGTAACGAGACAATTTTTTAAAATGTAAGGAGTAGAAAGTACAGATATTTGTGTAAAAATGTAAGGAGTAGAAGTAAAAAGTCGCGATAAAAATAAGTAGTAAAGTAAAAATATCAGAAAAATCTACTTGAGTACAGTAACCAAATATTTGTACTTCGTTACTTCCCATCTCTGCTGATTATTTAATGTTTTGCCCTGAAATGAAATATTCTGATGGTTCTATCGTTTTTTATCAGCCCTGAGAACAACTGGATCACATTAAAATCCAGTTGACAGAGAATGGCGAACATCGGAGCACATGGAGGGAGAACAAAGCCCTCATGGACTACTACTGCTGTTGTAAAAAAAAAAAGAAAGGATTACTGGCGGCACTGTTATCAGAGAGCTTGTTTAAAGTTAACTCCTAACCTGCCAGCGCATGCATGACTACCATTCAAGTGTTTGCTTTGGGTTTGGCCTGGCGTCTTCTGCAGGCGGTGTATGAAACACCTCAAAACTAGAGTCACTTCTCACAGATTTTTCTCCAGCAGCTCTGCATGTTGCATCATGTCCATGACTTTTCCCGTCGCTCTGACACATGCACATTCTGGCATAATGAGCATGTGTACCTGATTCCTCTGCTGTTGCCTGCTGCTCAGCTTTAAAGAGTTTATCTGAGTCCACCTGTACACCCCCTACCATGTTTTGCAGATTGTTAACGTCCTTGTGAGCAACTGGTGTGTCTGCATTCCCTCGATATTCTAGAGGTTGGAAGATGTTAGTGGAGCAGAAACATCAAAGCAGGCCTGGCTGAGCTCTGCGCAGGTTTCTAACGGTAGGAAAACAGATCTGCCAGCATCTGTATCCACAACACACATACAGAAATAGAACAAACACACAAACCCACACATAGCTTTCTGTATCTGTCCTTGGGTAGTTCGTAAGTAACAGCCAATGAGAGTTTCCCTTATCTGGACGCCACTACAGGAAGACCCCAGGATGTGGCTTCTCCCCGAGAGGCCTTCCTGGCTAGTCACGCAACTTCTCTAAGGAGGGAAGGGGCCTCCATTAGCTCCTCCTCAAACACAAACACTCCGTTACGCCAAACTGAGAACACCTCAACCACCAGTCTGAGGGACCACTGCACATGTTAAAGGAAAAGTCCGCTCATATTCAAAATACAAACTTCTGAAAGTACTTTAAATATGAAATTATTACATACTGTTCAATAGGTGAGTGTTTTTAATTAAGAGTAATTTTCATTTGATTGTGCTTTACTGGAGGCATCCATGTTTGTCAAAGAACACTACTGCCACCTACTGGTTTGTGACGTCACGGTGCGGTATCAGCTGTTGATCAAGTCCCAGTTCTGTATCTGGTGTTTGTCACAACGCGCTATTATCCAAGTCATCTTGAAAACATTCTTCTTCCAAATGTTGGCTACATATTACGTGTTTTTTCTCTAGCCAGAAGTTCGATGGCAAATCCTCCCTCTTCAAGTTGCCAATCCAACGACGAACCCGTCATTGGAAGATCAGGAATCAGAAAGGTGAAATACATTTTTTTCCCACTTTTACTCAATATATTACATGGGTATTGTCAGGAATTGGAAAGGTGAAATACCTAATGTTTTTTTTCACTTTTACACGATGTGTCACAACATCAAACTGCCATGCACATGGGCATTGAATATCAATGGTGAAGTCTGAAATTATTTATGATTTCGAAAGTCGAAATCATAAATAATTGTAGATTGTAGATGTGTCTAGTAGTTCCCATTGATTTTGCTTGTAAAGCAGAGAGAATGGCGCTAGGCTTACCGCACCGTGATGTCACTGCCGGAAGATGGCCGGAGGGAGGGATTACTACAGAATCAGTGTTCGCAATTAAAATTATTACTTTTATTTTTTTACTGATTAACGCTAAATTCATTAAATCACCGCAAACGTATTAGTTTTCGGTATAAATAATGATCCAATGATTATTTCTTGCTGTCCGGACTTTTCCTTTAACAGTATCGTGGAGAAATGTTTGGATGTTCTGACCTCATAAAAACCTCATTTATATTCTGCTCAGGTATTAAATCCATCCATGTTGTTGTGCAAGGATTTGGAAAGAAGCACTTTAGCCATTACTTCACACATCAGCATCTGAGCTTATCAACATGTCTGGAGGTAGGAGCAGCTGCTGTCAGCACCGTAGCCGGTCATCCTATCTGGATTTAAAATGAAACCCATTCATGTTTTCTACTGCAATTTCTCATGCAGAAACTAACATCTGGGTTTGTTTAAAGCTAGGGCTTAGACTAAGCTGCCCTCATCAGACTTTAATCCTAAGAAACCCGAGAACCCCAGAACAACAGGTAGTTGAAGCTCTTGCTACTAGACAGACTGAACAAAAAACAACCTATTATACAGTGGTGATCTTCCTGCAGAACCCAGTGTAACATGACACCAACAGAGGCCCCTTTGCAGCACCCAGCTGTAACTTCCTGTTATGGGAAAATGGCTCATTCTGCAATTGATAAAATTGCAAAGCAGACTTCTAGGGCAGAAGAACAGAGAAGGAAGACTCAGCCAAGTGAAAGCAAACCACCAACTTTTCACTTCTAAATAACAATAATAAAAAATCTACAAATAGTGTAGAGGTAAAAGCATTAAAACAAGGCGGGGATAAGAGGAAATGCAGTCATAGGCTGGGAGTCTGCTTGATCCGGAGAAGTAATATAATGCATGCCAGCAATGCGTAGGGGAATATTATCTTGATTCAAAAACATTTAGTTCCAGTAGATCCTGAGCAGAGATCTCTGTTCGCACGCAGATGTGCATGGAGGCAACGCTAGCAGTCAGTAGGAGCTGCAGCAGCAGATCCTCCAGCCAGACCTCCTCTTTCCATTATGAGTGTAACCAATGTTCATGTCTGCTTCTGGCACTTGCCGTCGATGCTTTCCAAGGAATAGATCAGCCTGGGGTTTCTCCCCTTTGTGGCACAAAGCTGTTCTGATATTAGGTGAAAATAGCAAATACGCAGCTGTACTCTAACCTTCTGATGTTTCTCTCTCTTAGAAAATCAGCACAGGTTGTGTTTTTCTTGGATCTGGTGAAAGAGGTTTGTTTTGTTGAGCCTGTACTCTGGAGTGGAGCCGTTCGGGGTCGAGCATCAGGGAACAATCTGACCCAGTGTCCTTCTGCTGAATATCTTACAGTTGTTATCTTCTCTTAAACACGTCAGTTAGCTCAGACTTAAGTTAAAGTTTAACCTCTGTCCTTTATTGTGTTTATCTGAAAC